GTCGCATCAATGGAGATTTCAAACTCTTGTTCTTTTTATTCATCATCATCAGTAGACAGTACCAAGCCGTGTTCTTCTGAATCTTCCGTTAATCTCTCCCTGAGCCTCACCTTTCCTTCTACTTCTCCACAAAGGTCCTTCTTCACACCATTACTCTGTTTTTTCCTCTGTTCTGTTTTCCTTTGTTTTTTGTTCACATTTGTGTTTTGAAGTTTTATTGTAGAAAGACAAGACAAGATTGGCCACCGATAAAGCCTCTATTAAGAGATACACTCAAGGGTTGTCGTCTTCCTCGTCGTGGTGATGATACATCTTTCTTTGTTAAGGTTTATATGGAAGGTGTGGCCATTGGAAGAAAACTCGACCTTTGTGCATTCTCTGGCTACGAGAGTCTATTAGAAAACCTCTTTCACATGTTCGGTACTTCAATAACCTGTAAGTAATTAATTAACCACATAGAATTATGGAGTAACGAAAACATTCAACTAAATTCGTATAGTTGAAGAATATCCATGCGTTGTCTTGGTTCTAGCAGGTGGTAATCGAGATAGAAAACATCATGTTTTGACATATCAAGACAAAGATGGAGATTGGATGATGGTCGGAGATATTCCATGGGAATACGAATCTTTCTATTTCCATCTTATACATATTCCACAAACTTTTAGCTATGTTGACTAAAATGTTTTGGTTTTTGTTCAGTATGTTTCTTGAAACCGTGAGAAGACTAAAGATCACAAGACCCGAGAAGTACTGTTAAAAACTTGGATGGTTAGATTTCTACATTTTTGAGAGATTTAGGAATCGATGAAGAGACCTCGACGTGGGACAGAGCTTTTGATGCATATTGCAACAAAGGCATTAAAGAACTTGGAGGATTGATGCATATTTATCCATGACTCTTGTTTTTTGTTTTAGTTCTGAATAATAATAACAATAAGATTTTTTTACATGTTTGTAATCGTCGTGTTCCTTTGGATGTGTACATGACCATAAAGAAACACGAACGTTGTTGGGGAGCACGAACATGGAACGAGAAGAGAATGATTCTCTTTGATGTGCATGCTCGTCTTTCTTCTTTAGTTATTCAGTTTACACCGATTTACAATTTTGGTTTCAAGCCCAATAAATTCTAATTAGAAAGCCCAAAGTAAACGGCCCTAAATTACATAGTTCGTTTCGTTATAGACAAATAAAATAGGTTGGGGTGAAATGTGTAAGATATCAGAAAATAAGGGTGTTTCTGAAATAAACTATAACATAAATCGCTAACTTTTTCTAATAACGCCGGAAAATATGAGAAATTCAATTGAAATTCCCACTCTCTTTCTCTCTTGCAACAAAAAATTGAATCTGTGAAATTGGAGAATGAAGGCTTCAGGGTCTACTTCTTGGAAAGCTCCCGTCAAGTTCAGGATGTAAGTTTCGTCTCTTCCTCTTCTCCGATTACTTTCGTTTCAAATCGTATCGAGTTCATGTATTTTGGGACCCGAATGAATGTTTTCTTACTGAATCAATCCATGGTCGGAGCTAGGCCTACTGCTGAAAACTTGGTACCGATTCGTTTAGACATTCAATTCGAGGGTCAACGTTACAAAGATGCTTTCACTTGGAACCCTTCAGGTTTCTCTCTCAAAAACCCTACCTTTTTTTTTGGGGGGGTCTCAAGTAGAAGTGATTCACTGATTCTCTTGTTTTCGTTTTTTGGATTAAGACCCAGATAATGAAGTCCTTGTCTTTGCCAAAAGGACTGTTAAAGACTTGAAACTTCCCCCTGCCTTTGTCACTCAGATTGCCCAATCTCTTCAGGTTGTTTCTCTTCTCCTCTGTCTTTGTTGCTAGCTCTTTCACTTGTCATAGAGCTTGTGAATTGAACATTTATGGTTACTACTTATGCTTTACATTCCGTGACAATTGTGGCAAATTTTCAGTGATTGAATGTGTTTTTTTTTTTACAAAGTTCTCTTAGATCAGTCGCATGTTCGGCTTCTTGTTTCTAAGTCTTTAGGTTTTACTCAAGAACATGCCTATTTATAGCATTGCACCATGGGATGTATATCTCTAGGACTGCTTGTGTGATTTATTTGTAAGGAATGTAATAGTTTCTTCAGAAATCTTTGCTCACATTGGTCATTTTTCTGCTTTATCAGTCTCAGCTCTCTGACTTTCGTTCATATGAAGGACAAGACATGTACACTGGTGAAAAAATCATACTAATTAAGGTTTTATGACTCAAGAAATCCTTCTTCTCGTGAGTGATTTGCTGAAAAAAAGAAGAATTTCTATAATTTTGATAAGTTACCTTTCCTTCTATTTCAGCTTGATCTCCGAGTTAACCACACCCTCATCAAAGATCAGTTCTTGTGGGTGAGTTGGTTATATTGAACAGTTTCAACCAGGATTTGTGTACTCTTTTAGTCTCAATGCAGCTTGTTTTCCGGTTTGCAGGACCTAAACAATTTTGAGAGTGATCCTGAGGAATTTGCAAGAACCTTGTGCAAGGATTTAGGTGTTGTAGATCCTGAAGTTGGGGTAAGATAACCACTCAATTTTTTTTACCTTTCATTATGTAATCAATAAATCTTGATTCAAACTTTTGATACAAGTGGTATTTGGTTTCTTTTTCTCTCTTAAGCCTGCTGTCGCCTTTGCAATCAGGGAACAACTTTACGAGGTGAAAACTCTATTCGAATCTTTAAGCTATTTTTTTGGCATTCCAGTGTAATTGTTTTCTGTTTTGAACAGAATGCTAAACTTGGTGACCTACAATATTGTTTTTTCTGCTTTCTAGATTGCAATTCAAAGTGTGGCTTCAGCTAGGGAGAGTAGATTAACTAAGAAGGGCCGCAGAGGATCTGATCATGGTTCAGCAAGGTCTGGTCTTTTCATTTTCTATCCAAGTTATCTTGTGGCAGTTGAGCTAACTCGAACAACTCTATAATAACTTTCCTTCTTTTATGTGCAGCAAGGCAAGCGGCTTGCCAATAGACCTAATGAAGCTATTCAGCTTCAAGTCCAGTGTAGTTCGGTAAGTGGTTTTCCTTACTTGATGTATAAATTTTCTTAGTGAAATGTCTTCTTAAGACCCGTTTTACGATTGTCTTCTAGTGTCTAGATTGTTTATGAGAGATGAGTTGAAACAGTTTTAACTTCATGACAACATCCTGAGCTTCTTTCTTACATATTGGAATACCAGTATACCACCTAGTCATACTTCTTGTATCATTTGATCGTAGATGATCCCATGATTTGGAGCTGGTCCTTCCTGGGATTGCTCTGTTAGTGAGCTCTGAGAATGTTGCATCTTGTTATCGAACTACTAAAACAGAATCACTAGGTTGCATGTCGTTTGATCACAAAAGTAACTCAGTGGAGACTGAGGAGTTTCTCTTCCTGCATTGAATAGACATGCAAAACCAAGCCATAGTGATAACAGATTTTGTCCATGATCTTGACAGGAAAAGGAAAGACTTGGATGTTTATGAACCAGTGGTGGATCTGCTAACAAATGAGGATGTTGATGCGCTCGAAGCCAGAGAAGAGAGGCGTGCAAGGTAAAGAGTTTTGCGTACATGTACAAATACTATTTAGGCCAGGACTGAAGGAGAACTCAAAATGTTGTTGTATTTATGCTTAAGTGGAGTTTATGATCTTCTTTAGAGAATTTGTCTTCAATCAAAATTGAATTTTGGGATTCTTACAACAAATTATATAAGACGCAATGCTTGATGAGACAGTTAATCCTCTACATTAGTCATTGCATCCGGTAGTATAAAACCCGGTGTGTATGAGTATGAGTATGGGAATCAGTTAAGAGAAGTCGGTTAGGTGAAACACAAGTGGGTGTGAATGACGAAACTTTAGATGGTTTACCTCAATGGGACATGTTAGGTTTACACTGAGTTGAGTGAGATCACCTCTTGATTAAGATGTTTCCCAAACTTTGAGCATCTTAAGAATCTTTGAGAGAGAGAGAGAGTATATACATTTTTTAAAATGTAATGAAATAAAGAAAGAGAACTCAATCAAAAGTACAATGCACGTGGTGAGAATCAAGTGTCCCACTTGAGAATTTAATAAGATCTCTCATCATCAACCATTAAACTCACTGTCTAATACGGTCGTAC